ACAGACAGACAGACAGACAGACAGACAGACAGACAGACAGAGACAGAGACTGACAGAGACTTACTTAGAGAGGCAGACAGACAGAGACTGACAGACTGACAGAGACAAACAGATAGACAGAGACAGGAATTCAGACAGACAAACAGACAGAGATGTTGAGTGTATAACGTCAGTAACACTACCCCCCAAACTCCCCTGTGTACCGGTGTGTCTTCCAGAGCCACTTCTCCATCAAGAGAGCCGCCTCCCTCCTGGGCCTTGGCACCAACAACGTGGTCTACGTCAGCTGCCACAGCAAGTAAACTCACCTGGCTCTGTGGCCTGGCTTTTTACATTGATCTGTTGGTTTTTTGTGGGGGGGGGGTTAAGATTTTGTTTTATTATCTTTGTTTGTTTGTTGTTGTTTTTTGTTGTATTTTTTCTCGGGGGAGAGGGGGGTTGTTTTGTTTGTTTTGCTACCGATTGCAATGGTGGTGATGCTATTTTTTTAAATTATTTTTTTTTGCTGGTGATGGGGGGTGGTAGTGCTGTTGCTTTTGTAGGTGTTTTTGTTGTTGTTGTTGTTGTTGTTTTAGTTGTTGTTGTTTTAGTTGTTGTCAGAGGTTTTGGGTTGTTGAATGTTTGGGTTGTTTTTTTCCTGTGTCCCTTTTCCGAGTCTCATGTTAGTAATCTTATTCATATCATACAAATATTGACTACGAAAAACTAAAATGTCAGTGAGTTTGTTTCAAGGTTATTTCAATATTTAAATGAAACGATAACGATAAGAGAATATGAATAGCAAAGGTTAGATACATGTGTTAATTGTCTTGTTGTTAATTTCTTGGTTTTGTTTCCTTGGCTTGGGGTACTATTTGTCTTTTGCTTATCGTACTAGATGAGTTTTAGACGCAGTTGTATCAGGAGTCTTGGTAGCACCCATTGTAACCACGTTTGTCATGAACATTATATCATTATGAGACAAAAAGTGAAAGTTTCTTTTTAGGAAACGAAGCCTTTGTGAGTCATTTACTATTGGGGTACTATTTTAGCCTTTCAGAAATTAATACATCTACTTTATGGGTGGAGTTTGTACAACTTGTAAGTCCGTAATAATAAAAGACATGGTAGACTTTAATAAAATAGGATCAATAAAAATTGTATAAATCTGACTCTAGTGTTGATTTTCGGCCGATTTCCATTCTTGGAGTGCAAGAAGTAACTCATTTTGTCAGAACGCCTCACATATAGTCATTATTATTGCTACTTTTATTGTATTATTATTA